GCCAGTTTGACAGTTATGTCTCTTTAAATGGTGCCTTCTAACTAGAATGGGTCTCGTTTCCTATGTTTTCCAATTTAACACCAAAGCACTAGTTGAGTTTTCAAGCTGAACAATGCAATTGTAACATTGATCTAATCTCTTTGTCGACTTTCTCTTTCGTTAATAACTTGGGTATTGAACCGTTTCTTGCCGGGTTTGTTGTATAAAATGCTAGATAATAGCTTGTTTTATAGATATATGTGTGTTGAAATTAGCTGGGAATACCATAACATGGCCGTGAAGATTCAAATAGAAAGTCGACGAAGAGAATCTGCCAATATTACTTAGGACCTAATACATTGTTCAGCTTAATTTTGCCGATTTAAATTTGCTTCCACGGGTTTTTCCACTTTCCTCATCGCCGCGCTACTTTGGCTCACAAACTGAGCAAATTGACTGAACTGTGAGTGCGGACCTTGTTTCCAGGCTTCTTTTTACTACTTCTATGGTAAAATCTATAAGCAAACGTCAGATTGTGCGTGAAACATGGCGGACCTCGTACCTACTATCCTTTCACTCTACCGAAAATTTCCATAAGAACTGTAAATATTTGCTAGTAGTAGAGACTATTTCAAGACCAACAATTGAAATGGCCTTAACTCCATTTTGTAAACAAACCTTGTAAGGCGCGTAAATAAACTTAAATTAAAATTATCACTCGCGATGCCACAAATTTCTGGTCCGGGAGAAAAAAGCAAATCTTCTGTTGTTTGCCAACATGATGTATCATGTTTTCTTTCTCGATTCTAGAACTTCTCGGAAAGCGAGAAAACCATCACTCACACACGTATAACCGTCCGGGAGGCAGAGTGCCAGCGCTAACCCGGCAAATGCAGCCGAAAACTATGAAAGCGAATGCACGCACAAAACAGAGAACAAACTTAAAACACAACCGTATCCAAAGGCGTTTGAAACTCGAGTCACCTGTTTGCCTATTCCCACTATTTGTACTATAAACCAAAACATTGCTCAATAAATTCTCCGTCGATTGACATATTACATGATATATTTCTCATTAACACTCCGAATACGGTGGGTAAAATACTTTACGCCGACCTCGACGCCGACTACTAAGCCTCCGAAAAACGCGTAACAGCAAGTTTGCAATGACATAACTTAGCCATTTCTTGATGAATTTCAAAAATTATGCTACCTTTAGAATTCCTAGGCTCTGTAGATTATTTTAATTGTAGAACGATTGAAAATAGGGTGGCCTACTTTTTTTTACAAAAGCGAAAAGAGTCGTTACACGTTTTTTTTTAAAGGTGGGTTTATGGATTTTACAAGTGGCTTAAGATCTATAATTTAGAGTATTGGACACAAATGTTCATAATTAGCCAGAATACAGTCATGGTTCCTATAAATGGAACCTGGAGATAACGAAACGGTCCTCGAAAGTTTCAGAACATCCGTAGAAATGGTTTATCCATAAACCCCTGATCCTAGAACTCCACGTTTTTTTCGGAAACATTAGAAACTGTGATATAAGAAATAATTTGGGTTCATGACATAAACATGAACCCGGATGGCCATCAGACCGTCCTCCGGAAGATCCGGAACATCCGTAGAAGTGTTCAATCTGTGAAACTGATTCTAGAGCTGCACGGTTTTTTTTTTCGAAAACACTTGGAATTAATTAGGGGTCATGACATAAACATGTACCTTGAAGGCCATGGGACCGTCCGCCAGAAGATCTGGAACATCTTTAAAAATGGTCAATCCTTGAGACTGATCCTAGAACTCCGCGTTTTTTTCGAAAGCATTTGGGAAAGAAGAAAAGAATTTAGTGTCATGACATAAACATGGACCTGTATGGCCTCCAGAAGATCCAAAACAACCGCAGTTTTTTTTTTCCAAATACATTAGGAACTTTGATATAAGAATTTGGGGTCATGGCATAAACATGTTCCGTCATGGTCATGGGATCGTCGTCTGGAAGATCTGGAACATCCGTAAAATGGCCAATCCATAAAACTGATCCATGAGTTCCGCGTTTTTTTTTCGAAAACACGCGGAACGGTGAAAAAATAATTTAGAGTCGTAACATAAACATGAACCCGAATGACCATGAAACCGTCTTGTGCATGGATGATACTGATTCGAACTGTGAAGTTTTCGAAAAAAAAATCATGGTTTTTTCCGAGGTTTTTCACAGTTTCATGTATGAAACACTATTACGGATGTTCCGGATCTTCCAAATGACGGTCCAATGGCCATCCAGGTTCATGTTTATGTCACGACCACAAATTCATTCTTATATTACAGTTCCACGTGTTTTCGAAAAAAACTGTGCAGCTCTAGAATCAGTTTCATGGATGGACCACTTTTATTGATGTTTCAGATTTTCCGGAGGATGGTCCTATGGCCATCCAGGGCAAGGTTAATGTCATGATCCCAATCTCTTTCTTATATCACAGTTCCCAATATTTTTTGAAAAAAAAAACCGTGGAGCTCTAGGATCAGTTTCATGGATGGACCTCTTTAAAGGATCTTTCGGATCTCCCGGAGGATGGTCTCATGGTCATCCGGGACCATGTTTATTTCACAACCTTAAATTATTTATTGTATCACAGTTGCTAGTGTTTTCGAAAAAAAACCGCGTAGCTCTAGAATCAGTTTCATGGATGAATCACATTTACGGATGTTCCGGATCTTTCGGAGGATGATTCCCATGGCCATCCGGGTCCATTTTTATTTCACGACCCACAATTCTTTCTTATATCGTGTTTTCGAAAAAATCACGGAGCTCTAGGATCAGTTTCATGAATAGACCACTTTTACGGATGTTTTGGATTTTCCAAAGGCCGGCCCCATAGCCATCTGGGACCATGTTTGTGTCACGACCCCAAATTCTTTCCTATATCACAGTTCCAAGTGTTTTCGAAAAACCGAGGAGTTCTAGGACCAGTTTCATAGATTGACCACTTTTACAGATGTTTCGGGTCTTCCTGAGCATGCTCCCATGGTCATCCGGGTTAGTGTTTATGTCATGAACCCATTATAAGAATTCTTTCTCATATCACAGTTCCTAATGTTTTTGAAAAACCGCGGAGCTCTAGGATCAGTTTCGTGGATTGACCAATTTTATGGATATTCCGAATGGTCCGGAGGACCGTTCCGTTGTCTCCATTATCCATATGTAGGAACCATAACTGTATTCTGGCTAATTATGAACATTTGAGCCCATTAATCTAATTTATGGATCTTAGTGGCAAAACCCATAAGCACTTCTTTAAAAAAAAAAACGTGTAACGACTCTTTTTGCTTTTGAATAAAGTAGACGACCTTATTTTTACATTCAAAATAATCTACAGACCCTAGGAATTCTAGAAGTACCACAATTTTTGAAATTCATCAAGAAATGGCTAAAGTATGCTATTGCAAACTTGCCGTTACACGTTTTTCGGAGGCATCGTATTCGGAGTGTTAACAGTTTTGAGAAATATGTATTTGAAAACTTCCTCATTTTCGTTCTTTTTTTTTTCTACATCTTCGCATTTCAAACTTATTGCTTATCGCATATTAGCGTGCTCTCAACTTAGTGTTCTAGATAGACTTCCACAGTTATTAATTGAGGGCTTTCGATGCCTATACCATTAGTATAATTGTGTGGCAAGTGCAATCTTACCATAGAGGTAGCTCTAAGACTAGAAGGTCCCTAAATAACGTGCTCAACTTTTTGGCTCAGCTCTGGTACTCTCTTCGGTCCCAAGCTAATCGATTCACCCCTCGAAACATAAAAAAAAACCAATAACCCCTCATTTTATCTGTCAAACTTTCATAGCGAATCAAAACAAACATTGCGTAGTACTAGACTTTCGACTAAAATGGGGTACGTTAATCGTTTGCTTGGGACCAATAGGCTAGTCAAGTAGTGAGCCAATTTAAAATCGTTAGTTTCATATTGATTGTTGATCTTAGTCTATGCCCAGGGAAGTCGAGAAAATTTCCAACCCAAAAAATTCCTAGACCGGACCGGGAATTGAACCCAGCCACCTCCAGCATGGTATTGTTTTGTAGCTGCGCTTTTATCGACTGAACTAAGGGAGGCCCCATTTTCGTTACATACCTCATTTTCGATTTCGTAATGTGACCCACAGTATAGTAAAGAAATACGTAGTTGAAGATGCAAATTTCAAATAACAGACTGTAGTGGTAATTTTTATACGATAGATGGAGTAGATGAAAGCATAGAGTTGATAGTTCCGTTAGAGTACGGCAGTGTGAAGATTGCATATAGATGTTAGAACAGCGAGCTAGGACAACTTTTATGGAAGGTACAAATCGGTTTTTTCATCTCTCTTTACCAAACTCCCCCTTTGGAGAGGGATGGTGAGGGGTGTCCCCCCCGCCACCACTGGCAAAAAGAGATGAAAACCGACCCGCTCAAGTACCAACTGTGTGTTTGAAACAGTTCTACCGATTTTTTATCGCACTTCAGTTGTTATTTGAAGGAAGGCATCCAGTCGTAGGTTTGGAAATTGCAACTATTGTTTACCCCTACCACGACGATCTCGAGGGGACACGGTTGCTACAGTCTGTTATTTAAAATTAGCATCTTCGACTATGTAAATCGTTGACTTCACGTAGAAGTAATGCTTAAACATATAGTCAAAGAAATACACTTAAAAAACCGTGTAAAAAGATTTGGACTACATTTAGTTACTCTAAATATCATTTCTCAAAGCATCCAATATTCTGCAACAAGTTTCATGTGGAATTAGGTAGAATGTAAGGTTATATGAAAAATATACAGTTGTTCATATTGAAATCTGTGTTCAACCCTTTGTGATTTATACTCCAAACACTTGTTTGATGAAAAACACTGAATTTTACTATAATTTACCATACTCGTCTCAATTTTACTACCCTACAAACACTATTCGCTCGCTCTCTCTCTCTCTCTTAACAACTGCATCATTTGCAACCGAAGCACTAAGCCCCAGCGAAGCATTTATGCTTGTTGCCCCAAAGCATCCAGTTTGCTGCGTGAGATCATCGAGTGAGGTTGTGTGTCGCTATTTGACCGTCGGATTGCCTTTTAACAACAAAACGCGCGCGCTCGTTAGCTTCATCGTTTGACTTGCTTTCAGTTTTTGGCGGTTTGAAGATCGAGTTCCCCTTCTTTCAACGTTACTGCTACTAGGGACGATCGTTCACTGTTGTTTATTGGCTATACAGCAGAGCGCTGCTTTCGACGACTAAACAGGTTTGGGGCATTTCTCCTTTCGCTTCGGAGTTTATTTGGTGTTGTTTTTCTTTTGTGGAAGGTTGTGTATGGTCGGATTGAACCGCTAAAAGTGTGCAAATAGTGACTGCCAGCCAAAAAACAAAAAGGTTCTTGATAGGCCGAAAATGAGAAGAAAATTGCAGACGTAGAGTTTTGTGACCGAAATGTGCCAGGCTCGTTGATTCAATCAATTTGAACCGGGGAGACGAGAAGCGAACGCAATTATTCCCAGCAAATCTGCGCATACACACCTTCCAATCGCGCAATAGAAGAGGAAATTAAATCAACGAAATAAAGTAAATACAAACGAAGCGGAAAAACAACAACAGAGGGCAAGAAACGGTCCCAGTGATATACCACCTTCTTGAGTAGTCGGATTGAGATTCATGCGAATCGTTTCAAAGTGAAAACCACGCGTGGAAGGAATTTAAATCCAGCCGGTCGTTATTGGATTGCCAGATAATTAGCGAATTAGACAATCCATTTCTGTTTGTGTTGTGCTTTTAAAAATGTAAATAAAAGATCGAGTGAATAGGGAGAGATTGTGATGCTATATAATAGGAACAGACCCAGTCAATCAGAAGTACGGAAATGTTTGTTTAGAAGCAGATTCAACGAATGCTTTGTGTTTTATTATTGTTATCATTATTATTATTTATTTGCAATAAGTTATTTGCGTAACTGGAATAATTAAAAATACCAAACAGTTGTGTGGCATATTATTTGAAAAGGAAGTTTATTTTAATTTATTCTCATGTGTATAAAAATTATCTTCATCAATAACGTCATCAATGCAAGACACCGCAACTGAAAACAAACAATTTAAATTCTAGGTCATTCTTGTTCACTTTCTCGTACGTGTGATAGTAGGAAGAATATCTGTTTATTATTTGTTCTTGACAGCAGCTGCAGTAACAGAACGCAGTGAGAGCAAAGTTGTGAAACCTGATACGAAAAATATCGAAAATATTCTCCCGTAAGCTGTTTTTGGAATCGTGAAATTTTTAAAGGTAAGCTACGTTTTTTTATAACAACTATTAAATTATGTAGATTTTGCAATTGAAGGATTTAATGGCAAATGTAATACGTGGATTATTTAACTTCATCTTGACTATTTCTGAAATGATGAAGCTATGATGAAAGCTATGTCTGATAGCATCTTATCACAGACAAACAAACATAAAATTCGCAAGCTGTATATCGAATACGCATTTAACGGTAGATTTTTATGTTTTTTAGTGGTAGTACCGCCACCTGTGGCACGCATAGTCAATTCCCTTGTGTTTGACGTTTACACACTACCGCCATATGTTCGGCGTACTACCCATCACACTATACTCAACAGATGGCGGTAGTGTTTTAGCGACGATGTTTTATATTGAAAAATATTCAATGTGTTATGTCTGTTTGTCTGTGATCTTATTATTCTTTGAGCACTTCTACGGTTGATGATTGGGAGATTGCTACAAATGCAATGCATTTGTATTTCTTGTGGCAAGTAAAATAATACTCTGTTCTGAGAAGACTAGTAAATATTCAAACCTAATACCCCGTACAGACTATGGCTTATATCATGTAATATAGGCTGTCTTGCAATGAGCACTCATATATCTAGTTTTCACTGGAAATCCTATGTATGAGTGCTCATTGCAAGACAGCCTATATTACATGATATAAGCCATAGTCTGTCCGGGGTGTAAAATATTTTTCACAAGACCAGGAATTGAAACCACGACTTTGTTCAACTAATGGAGTCTTTGAATAAATCTAATTACTTTATATTTAGACCTCTGCATGTACACTTTGAATTAACTCTGATCATTTGTAAGTTCTTCTTCGATTTAATTCAAAGTTATTGGTTATTAATTGTCAAAGATAAACAAACAACTTTATTAGTTATTAGGGTGATTTTTAGCCAATTTTGGGCTCGATCGCCACCATCAATAATCATACGACGTATTTTTTATTTAATAATTTTGAAATTAAAACCACAGATAAACTGATATAATTCTTGCACGTTTTTCATCGCACATACATGTAACGGTTAATATTTTTTTGTAGTGATCACAGTGGCAGCATACACTTGCTTAAACTCTACACTGGACCCCTTTTATTGATAAATTTTACTTCTATGAGCCTTTATTTTAAATCAACACACCTAGGCTATGGTGCCCGTTTGGTCACTGTTGTTTTTGTGTTGATCCAAATAATTTTGATAATATAATTGCGTATTTTGTTTTTTTAAAGGTTGATTTTTGTCCCAGTCTTGTCTTCTGTCGTCACTTATTCTGTCATTTTGTCTTGTATATTAACCCCTACTTGTCTTGTGTATTGTGTCAACTTGTGTCTATTGTCCTTCCCCATCTATTTTTAAATTCTTTCTGTTACTCTGTTATGACTAATTTCATTGATATATAAAAATAGTAGTATTGATTATAGGATAATATGGTTATTTCTACTAATTAATGAATTATGATTTCAACTTACCACTTTTTGATTATTTATCAAATACCTCTCCGAGTATATAACTCACAGGTGCCTTGTTGATTTCTTATCTCTAATGGTTTGGTCCTGAGTTTGTTTGATATCCTGTTCGAAGTAATTCTATTCTTCTCCTTAGTCCATTGAAATCACGTTATGTCTTTGAGTTCCAGCTCCATATGATTCGCCATTCATAAAGATAATGGGTTAAAAGGGAGTAAAGCATACATAAGGGTAGATTTTCTAAAGCCTTTTTATATTTTTCATTGGGGATTCGCCCAATTTCGTTAATTTTTTTCAATTAGTTTATTTGTTAGAGTTTAATGTAAAAAGGACTCCACGGAGCCGAAAACCAGTATATTTTTTAAATAACAATAAATATTAATAAAGGACAATTCTTATGAGCTCATTTTACTCTTCCTGGGATGTGGCTTGAGCTTAGCTTCCGCTTTTAGCCGTGTCCTCAACTCCCTCGCTTCTTCGATTTTTTTCCTTCAGCAGTGCTCGCCGCTTGGTTTCATATTCGTCTATTATCCGCTTCTTCTCAGTATAGTCCACTATCTCAAATTTGTAGTAGTAATATGCGTCATTCGATGTTTGAAAATAAGTGGCTGCTGTTTCTCAGCAGCGCCCTTCCGATGCCCCTCCATCTTACAATGGAAACACAAGTTGTTGTTCCCTTGATAGAATATGTTCCCCTTCCGATTGAGGAAAAGCAGCGAGTTGGGGATCTCTTTTTTTAAGTCCATGTAAATTCCGCGTACACCTGTCAGCATATCCAGGCCCAAGCAGCTGGGAATTTTTCAACAAATGACACATTACCAACGATCATTATCCGGGACTTCTGGTAGTAGGTCGTAAACTCTCACGTAGTGAACAGTACCCCCCGCAGGTAACATGCGTGCCTCGACTGATTTTCCATCGGCATAATGGAAAATTAATTGTTCCAGGTTGAGTAATAAGCATCGAAGCATAGATTCTTTTGATTTGAACTTGATGAACACATATTTTTCCTCCGCTATCCAGCTCTATCGTCTATTGACGGTTTTTTACAGCCAGCTATGCAGCTGAATCTAACAATCAGCTTTATTTCCACCGAAAATTGATTAATTTCTATAGAAGTCATTTAAAAAAACTTTGTCGAAGACTTTTCAATCGCTCAAGTGGAAGAAGTTGTAGGGAGAAAAAGAAGCACCGACAGTAGTGTCCCTTTAAAAAGCGTTTTTTTATTTACCACAACTTTTTTTTTCAATTTAACAGTTTTTTTAAATTTCCTACAAAGTTGTAAGTGCTTTAAAAATGCATATTTTTTTTACAGTAGAAAGCAAATCGTTATCTCTTCGTTTTAAGTATTTACATCCGTTTTCATATTTTTTAACATTATCTTTAAGGGGGTGTATCTTGCAGGTTAGCAGGTATTACACTAAATAGTTGCGGTGCAAATAGCCATGTCCCACTGTGAAACGGGCTAACGACAGAAGCAAATGAACTTCACTCAATGAGCAAGCACCGCAACAATAGTTGCTATTGAATAACAGACTATCACTATTTTTATTATTAAAACATATGGATTTTATCGTTAGAGGTTCCTTACAGTAAAGTCGATTTAAAGGCGTGTGTGTTAGTATGGTCAATTACATGGAACGATTTCTTCAAATTTAAAATTCGGCCCTTCCATCGGACAAATACTTTTATCATCAGCAGACATGGCAATTAGCATTAGCTACACTTTGACCTTAGTTTAAAAAAAATAGCCTCCATGGCTGGATCAATTTTATTAAAATATCTTTTCTTGATATTTCTGAATACGTTGGATGGTTTACTAAATTTATCTGCAATTTGATTGTATCAATAAGAATTTCTTTAAAAAATATCTGAAATATCCTTTACAAAGCAATCAATACAATTCCAAATTATTTCCCGATATGCTTTATGCTTAACTGTGCATGAAATTTAAATTAAATATTTACTTTGTGCTGCATGTTTTGAAATAATTGTATTTTGTTTGAATCGGAGTCGGAATCACTTAATTTCAAATCAACGGAGTCGCAGTCGACCGATTTTCATCCGACTTCACAACCCTGTTTTCTACAATTTGTCTCAGACATAATTTCGATTAGATGACCCGTTTTCGTGAAATGATTTATTGAAAAATATCGAATACGTCATTTTGAAAACTTAGGCGTGAGAAAAGAAATCCGGCACAACTTGAATCATTGCTAATAGCGCAAAATTAGCCGAAGGTTCATGGAAGTCGGAGTGGCAAAAATAAAATCGATTCGTCGGTTGACGTGGAACTGCTAAGTGGTAAAATTCTACTTTTTGTATTGTTTTTTAACCATCCTAGATAGAGCTGGAATTAGAGCATAACAGCTTTTGCAAACAATGACTTTTCTGAATGATTTCTAGAAAGTCAAGACTCGCCTTCACAAATCACCATCGGGAAGAGGAACGCTTTCCCTACGGGATGGTTATGTTGGTTTGCATGGGCGTCCTTCGATATTCTAGAAATCATCAAAAGAAGTCAATGTTTACAAAAGCTGTTCCAGCTCTATCGAGCATTTTTGCATTATTAGCAACCAATAAGGCCGGAAAAAATCTCAAGTTTTTTATTTTGTCACCCGGCCTTTCAAAAGTTTGGAATATCACAAAGGGAGAAATAAAAAAACGACATTGTTTAGTGATTCAATTATTTTCTAAAGTGATTCAACAATTTCCGAGCTAAATCCAATCTATTCAAAATTGGTTTAAATTTTTTAGAAGTGATACCGAATCAGAAACGATTCAGGAAATTCCTAAGTGAGTGACACTTTTCATAGCAGATTCAAAACTGAGTCTGAACTTTTTTTAAGTGTGTTCAAACATCCGAATAAGTTATCAACATTTTTCTAACTGAGTCTTAACTTAGCACATTAGCACATTATCACATTAGCTACTTTAATCCCTTTCCTTAATGAATCCGAGGTTTCCTGTATTGATTCAACTTTTTCCGAACTGAATCCAAACTTGTCAGAATGGGTTTCAAAATTTTCCTAAGTGAGCCCCAGGTTTTTGTTAACTGCTTTGGCATTTGGCAAGGACACAATCTTGTTTAGGTCATCTAGCTTTCCTAAAAGCGTAGAAAGTTTTTCGAAGTGAACCGACACTTTTTTTTAGCTTAAATTTTCCAAAAAGAGTCCAGTATTTTCTTAAGTGGTTCAATACCTTCCTCAGGGAGTCCAAACTTTTCTGTTGAGTGATTGAATTATATGTAATACTAGTCTGAGCTTTCTTGAAATGGTTTAACTAACTTTCAACGTAGATTCCGCTCTCTTAACCCCTTCCTTGTTCTTGTGAGATTCACATTCTTTGAAAATTAGGCTGAGATTAAACAAAAATGGACTTTCGTGTGTTCAAACCTGATTGTAGGTTTTTTTAAGCAAGCAGAATTGTTGAGAAAACTGGGTTTACATCCACAAAAGTACGTATTTTTATAGAAATTTGGGTTCCTTGATCAGCCAAGCTGGATTTTGGCTCCGTCCTTTGAAAA